TCCTCCCTCCATCGTTACATCCTTCCATCGTTACATCCTTCCATTGTTACATCCTTCCATCGTTACATCCTTCCATTGTTACATCCTTCCATTGTTACATCATTCCATCGTTACATCCTTCCATCGTTACATACTTCCATTGTTACATCCTTCCATTGTTACATCCTTCCATCACTACATACTTCCATCGTTACATCCTTCCATCGTTACATACTTCCATTGTTACATACTTCCATTGTTACATCCTTCCATCGTTACATACTTCCATCGTTACATCCTTCCATTGTTACATCCTTCCATTGCTACATCATTCCATCGTTACATCCTTCCATCGTTACATCCTTCCATCGTTACATCCTTCCATCGTTACATCCTTCTATTACATCCTTCCATCGTTACATCCTTCCAACATTACATCCTTCCATCGTTACATCCTTCCATCGTTACATCCTTCCATCGTTACATCCTTCCATCGTTACATCCTTCCATCGTTACATCCTTCCATCGTTACATCCTTCCAACATTACATCATTCCATCGTTACATCCTTCCATTGTTACATCCTTCCATCGTTACATCATTCCATCGTTACATCCTTCCATCGTTACATCCTTCCAACATTACATCCTTCCATCACTACATTGTTACATCCTTCCATCATTACATTGTTACATTGGTTGAAACAAGACACAAAGTGCATTCAGTGTACCGTGTTGCGGAAGGAGAGTGACCTCCCTTCCATCACTACATCCTTCCATCGTTACATCCTTCCATTGTTACATCCTTCCATTGTTACATCCTTCCATCGTTACATCCTTCCATCGTTACATCCTTCTATTACATCCTTCCATCGTTACATCCTTCCAACATTACATCCTTCCATCGTTACATCCTTCCATCGTTACATCCTTCCATCGTTACATCCTTCCATCGTTACATCCTTCCATCGTTACATCCTTCCAACATTACATCATTCCATCGTTACATCCTTCCATTGTTACATCCTTCCATCGTTACATCATTCCATCGTTACATCCTTCCATCGTTACATCCTTCCAACATTACATCCTTCCATCACTACATTGTTACATCCTTCCATCATTACATTGTTACATTGGTTGAAACAAGACACAAAGTGCATTCAGTGTACCGTGTTGCGGAAGGAGAGTGACTTGTAGCAGAGCGCACCAACCCAATGCTGTATTACTAGTTGTACATATCGCCAGCGACTGTTACGAGCGCTCGTCATTACAAATCACGTGACTCGCTGACATTAGTGATTTGCAGTGACAATCATCGCCACCTGACGCGGCGCTCAGCTCTAAACAAATATTATTTGGCACATTTCGCCTCCACAATCGGAATTTTACGACTGATCTGCTATAAACCAAAAGTGCTAAAATGACATGCGTGTTCCCGTGTGAGGATACTGTATGTATATTGTGAGCCATGACGTCTGATCATGTATACCTCTGAATATAGCTCGGCCCTCATCGGTCTTACCTGCATGGCGTTCGCCTTGGCGCAAGGCTGGGCTATATAACCAGCAGCAGCAGCATCCCTCCTCCTCGCCGCCGTCCCTCTGTCCTCTCCTGTGCAGATCTCCCGTGTCAGCACCTGTCTCGCCCTCCTCTCTGTGTGTTTGTCCAGCGCCCCAGCCCCCTCCTCTTAGTCCTGCTATGCGTCCGTCCGACCGTTCCTCTGCCACTGTCACTTTTTCTTCGTCTCTCCTTCTTGTACTTCGCTCTTTCAGGATCACTGCGTGTCAACGCATTTCATTACCTAATGGGAAACCGATTGGACGAGCAATCTCCCCTCCTCGCCTAAACTCCGCACCCCTAGGAAAACCCAGAGCCCTGATCCATGAACCTGTTAACACACAAAGAGGGAGGATGCCCTTTTTATTTACCCCGTGCAAACTGCTAAAGACGCATCTGAAATAAAATATAACCTGCTGAAAAGGGTCTCAATTTCTGTCCATCAATTGCTGAGATTTACACAGCTCTGCTACACAGCCCAGCTAGATGGTGACCTGACCTTTCTCAGCTGCATCGCAGTCTGGTCACCTACGCATCCCCAGTCTGCAACTGGACGGTGACGTTTTGGAACTTCTTGCACAGCCTCACAGAGAAACACAAGCACACAGTCTGATATGCATGCTGCACATGGCTTAAAAACAGGAAGGAAGCCCCAGCTTTATTCTCTACCTTATTCAATACAACAGAGTATATACCATAGATATACTGTATAACAGAACTTATAAACACTGCCATCTAGTGACTGAAATTGTATACTGCAGGAGTTGTTGCTATAAACAAGGCAATGTGTATTCTAACATGAAGGAGCAGCAATAGGTCAAGGTCATCTCTCTGCTCTCTTCTTCTGTCAGCATGCTCCTGGTCAGCACACGTTCATGCAGGGAACCTGGATGAACTCTAGTGCTTCCCCTCACCCTCCCATTTTGAGCTATGAGAACACAGGTCAAATCCAGACATTAAGGGCCCATTCTCACTACAGCACTGCACTAAGCGGGTGGGATCACTGCATTTAGCACACGGTACCACAGTAACCTGCATTGTATTGCCATGCAGTGAAAAAAAAAAAGTAGGGCATGCATTACTTTTTTCACCATGTAGCAATGTAACACATGTTGTTGTAGTAGCACGCTACATTGCATGCCTGCCGGGTGGTGCTGTTCATAATGCTATTCAACGCGCCAGCACACCTAGGGGGTGATGTACAAAGGCTTTGCTCAGTGTATAGCAGGACAGAAGTGATCAGGCCGGGTTCACATCATTGTGGTGCGATAACATGCGTTGTTGTGCTGCAATTCCATTCATTTTGAATGGTACTGCCACACATTAGGGACGCATTGTGTTAACACACATTGTTTAGCGATGAAGCACTCTGTGTTAAGGCCTGGCAATAGTGGGGAAGTTTTTCTTTCTTCATTTTTTAACCAGTTCCCCCTTCCCCCCGTCTCGAATCTTGCCAGGTCTACACACCCTCTGTGCCCATTATGAGGGGCTCCCACCATCCCTGTGCTGAGTTCCCGGGTCTGTACACCTGCTGTGCCCATTATGAGGAGCTCCCACCATCCCTGTGCATATTTATGCAGGTCTCTTCTTGCTGAACACTTTGGCATAAATCAGCTTTTTCTTTCTAAATTCAGCTTTCAAAGCTGTCAATTTCTCCTCCTCCTTATCGATCCGTGTCAGCTTCCCAACAATCCTCCGTCTAAAAGCAGACAGGGACTCATCTCTCCTTGGGCCAGGCCCAGAATCTTCCACAGGCTGAGGCCTAGTCACAGGCCTCTCCAGGGAGCCCCCGCCGGGGTCCTCCCCAGAACTCCAGCATCTCTCCTGGGGGCAGAGAAGCAACTCTAGCCCCCGGTCTCTGGAAGCTCACGAGCTAAGGAACCAGCAACCTCACACCTCGCTGTCAGGGAGCAGAATGGCAGTTTCCCACCATCCCTGTGCTGAGTTCCCGGGTCTGTACACCTGCTGTGCCCATAATGTGGGGCTCCCACCATCCCTGTGCATATTTCCTGGGTCTGTACACCTGCTGTGCCCATAATGTGGGTCTCCTACCATCCCTGTGCTGAGTTCCCGGGTCTGTACACCTGCTGTGCCCATAATGTGTGTCTCCCACCATCCCTGTGCATAGTTTCTGGGTCTGTACACCTGCTGTGCCCATTATGTGGGTCTCCCACCATCCCTGTGCTGAGTTTCGGGGGTCTGTACACCTGCGGTGTCCATTATGAGGAGCTCCCACCATCACTGCTGGGTTTCAATTTTATTTAATAATAAGGAGAAAGTAACCTGGGTGTCACGTACCTTCCGGGAGTCTGAAGTGTCGAGGGCGGCCTCTCTCACAACTCTGGTCCTGGGGCACCTGAATTGGGCACAGGAGCACCGGGGCACAGAGGGGCAGGAGTGCCAGTTGAAGACAGATCCGCAGAGATGGGTGCAGGTCCAGTCAGGCAATAGATCAAGCAGAATCATCAGGACAGGCCAAGGTCGTTAACATGAGGACAACGCAGTACCAGGGGATGATGCAGGAACAGCTGACACTCAAACAATACGTTGGCGTGTGCTTGCGCATGTTCACGCAGAGACGCTGCACCTGATACAATTCTATGAGCTGCACCATGCGCATGTGCAAACCGCGGTGTAAGAATCCTGGGTCTGGCTCTGGTTCTGGCTTCCTGACACTGGGACACGCAAAGATGGGCAGGAACATCCAAAACTTCCGTGTGGACAGGAAATGGAAAGAAGTGGAGAATTATGGCAGAGACATTTCACTGGTGGAGCATTAAAGACATGTGAGGGTCCGTGTTGATGTGTTTTTGCTTGCATCAGATGGGTTTGCATTGCCATACAAGTCTATGGAAATGCAAAATCCGCTTGAAGCAAGTCAAAAGCAGGTCAGAAGTAAGTCAGCTGGACCTGTCAATGGATTGTGAATGATCTCAGAAGCTTCTCAAACTGATGTTAATCTGATGCCATCAACACAAGACCAAACCCCATCAACACGGACTCTAGGAAGCCAGGGGCTGAATCAGCCCACCAGGCCCACCTGTAACTGAGGTGGACTGACCCTTTAAGAATTCACACAGAATCCCATACAGGAGAGGGAGAAGAACCGAAGTTACTTACGCTGACATCTTTCAACAGATGAGGAATGCTGAGAAGAATCAGGCATGGTTCCAGGAGCTCATGGCTGGGAATATCTCCTTTCTGGAACAGATGGCGATGATGCTTACGCTGCTGAAGAATGAAATTACAAGTTTTCTAGAGTCAGTGTGTGCTTTGTGACACTTGTCATAGCTAGAGCACAATAAGGATCCATCTCAAACCTAAGAGCTAGCTAGGGTTGCCACCTTATCTTCCATCAAAACCCGAACACTCTAGAGACGCACAGTAATTGTTTGGGGACAATGAGTCGCGGCTTATTCATATGTAAAAATCACAGTTGAGACTATTTTCACTGGGGGGCCAGTAGCCCCTACCTTAATTTTGGTTGCCCCTGTCTGCCTGACATCTTGTGCCCGGGTTTCAGCTGCCATGAAACCCGGACACGGCATGTATATCCCGGACAGGTGGCAAACCTAGCGCCAGCTGTGAATTAGGACCCTGCACTTCCCATTGGCAGTTCCAGTGGGCATTATGTATAGAACAATAAGCCCCAAAGCAAGTCCTGTAATTTCATGGGCTCTCCTGATTTCCTTACTTTCCTGTCCTGTAGCTGCACCCAGACACTAACTGACCCAATGATGGCCACCGACAGACTTCCACTCATAAATCTTCTTTTGCAAAATATATTGGATCAAATAGGGAATAGAAGGTTGGGGGTACAGGATACCTAAAAACAGCATGAACAAATTCCCTCTGCTCAGTAGTATCTTCTAGTATTTTAACTTCTACCACATGGAGGCAAAGGCAGGTTTGGTTGGCTAGACGAACACAGGGGCGTATCTGCCACAAGGCCAACAAGGCATTAGCCTTGGGTGACACTTTCCAGTGGGCGGCACTGGAATGGGGTATGGGGATGGTTATCGGTGACGATACTGGGGATTTTCATGAGTACTCGTACTCATGACAATGCGCCTATACTAGGCACCGACAACAACGCTTTACATTTTTAAACATGCTTGCTGGGGACCTCACGGCACTGCGTACGGCACCAGCCCACACACATCTGCTCCTTCCTATGGAACCACAATGCACAGCCCACCTGAGAGCCTTTAGAGCCCACCTGAGAGCCCGCACAACTCACCTTAGAGCCTGAACAGCCTCCTGAGATCCCTCACAGCCCACCTGAGAGCCCGCAGAGCCCATATGAGAACCCGCCCAGCCACCTGAGAGCCCACACAGCCCACCTGAGATCCTTACAGCCCACCTGAGAGCCTACACAACTCACCCGAGAGCCTGAACAGCCTCCTGAGACCCCTCACAGCCCTGAACAGCCCACTTGAGAGCCCATCAAGAGACCCTTCACAGCCCACCTGAGATGTCGTTCAGCCACCTGAGAGCCTGCACAACCCACCTGAGACCCTGGAAACATCACGCTGCCACCCCGGAGCAACACAGAGTATGTAGCTTCATGTTATTCTGCATTTCTGTATAATGTATTCCTGGGATTTGTAGTCCTCTATAGCTGGTACTATTCTGCATTGCTAATAAACTGACAGGTTATGCAACTTGTCTTAAACAGGAAGGGGTGGGGGAATTTAGATTGGGGGCGCCCGAGTTTACGCTTGCGTAGGACAGCACAAAACCAAAATACACCACTAGATGTAGAGCTACCGGAAAGTATCTTCAGCCCCTCTCACAGGCTAGCTGTGAACCATCAAGCTGAGACCAGAATATGGCTGAGCAGAAGTTTTCTTCAGCTTCTTTTCCCAGGCAGCAGGCATTAGAGTCAGGAATGGAATCTCTCTGGAGGTATATGCTCCCCAAGCAAGGACTGGACCTTTCACAGCTACACCTTCTCCAGGCAGCAGGCCTGGGAGGACACGACAAGCAGTGGTGTAACAATCACCATAGCGACCCAGGCAGCCGCTATGGGGCCCGGGGCACAGTGGGGCCCGGCCAGATGCCGTGCGAGACAAGATCCCTTTACTCACACATCCTCTCCAGGGAAAGTCTGTGGGGGAGAAGGACCTCTAGACTTATACCCTCCACAGGCAGCAGGCCTGGTAGGCAAAGGACCTTTTAATACTTCCTCTCCATGGGATGGGAGGGATAGAGATACCATTTAG